CAGTTAATTACTACACACACACACACACACACACACGGAAAGAGAAAATTGTTCGGGTATAGTTTATACCTAAAAATTTTACAAGTGAAATACTATGTTCACCTGTTTGCATGCTTTAAATAATGCTGTCCAGAAACTTACCACACACAAACCAAGGTAGAATGACACCAATACCCAACATATGACCACAGACATCAGTCCCACCACTGAAAAACTAGAAAAGATAACATTTGAAAGATTGGTTTTTGTAACTACAACATGGTCTTAAGAATCGTTTCTAAGACTGGAATAAAAACAGCTGCATAGCTTTTCAAAGTATAATTATATTTAATGACCCCCGTGTTTTAACATTCTAAAAATTATATAAAATCCAGATATCTTTTGTGTACAGTATTTACAAAGATAAGTTCTCCTAAGTAATAGTTATAATACTATGGTAAAACTCTGATCACAAATACAAAATAAAACTCTAGTTCTCTAATATTTTCACTGCTTTAGGAAATTTCTGTTAGTTAGTTACTTTTCATGATCCCAACACAAAACAAACATTCTAATAGAATTACAATTATACTGTGAAACACATGTAACATTATTTACATGCATAAAAATTTACTTTAAGACAACTGTTAAAAAAAACTCACAAGATAAGCAGGCAGCGTGATGTTCGACAAACGGCTCCAATTAAGATGAAACAGAAAATAACCAATAAACTCAAGACAGCAAATGTTGCTGGCCATCTACAAGAAATGTAAATTTATCAGTATGAAAACTTTTCATATAAATATATATCATATGTTCATGAAAGTTAAAATAATAACAGTCTTACCATAGTTTATGAAACTTGATTAATAAAGCATGTTTTTTAAGATAAAATTTCCTTCAACAGAAATGAGATAAAACATTGCATTAGGGTTCATAAACATTTTATGCATTTTAAAGGATGTGAATCTATGTTGGCCAAACTACATAAAATGCTTTTAATATTACATAAGACAATTAATACAACAAAATTGTCAGGATGTTTAAGTGCTTTAAACTGCTTTGCAGTACGTATCGTACTGATATCCTAATTTATTTCCAATTTTTGGCTTTTAAACTACAAAATATCAACATATCTTACACTTCATTATTAAGTACTAATTACATGTTGTCTTTCTTAACTATATTTCATTTAAATCAGTTGTGCTTTTAACTTAAATTTTTTAATTCTCTTATGTTCTGAAGCTATTATCAAAGTATATTAAAAATGCACGACTTGAAACTTCTGAAGTATTCATTCCGCCTGGAATTTTAAGTTGGACAACACTTAGGCCTCCATACTGATGTCTTTATCTAGTTGCTGTGACTACTGATTAACTGACATTTCAACATGTAATGTAATGTAGTTGTGTTAGATACCTCCTTACTGATGTTATTTAAGGGAAGGAGAGACATCCACTGCTAGCACATACTGCAGTAATGCTGTCATTAGAGTTGGCATATATACAGGGAAGGATAAACATCCACTGTTGACACATACTGCAGTAATGCAGTCATTAGAGTTGACATATATACAGGGAAGGATAAACATCCACTGTTGACACATACTGCAGTGATGCCATCACTGGAGTTGAAATATGCAGGGAAGGATGGACATCCACTGCTGACACATACTGCAGTGATGCCATCACTGGAGTTGAAATATGCAGGGAAGGATATTGTTGTTGTGGCTCCTCTTGACTAAAAATCTTCAAACAAATTCATGAAGAAACAAGAAAAAATTAGTAAGGTAAGAACACTATCATAAAGAACAGATTTAAAGAATTATGTATATAAATAAATGTAAAAATGAACTACTTAATGAATAGCAAGGTGAAAAAATTTCTTCATAGAAGCAGGGATAAATTAGGGCTCCATCCATCTGTTGATGCATAAAAAAGATTGTGATTAAATATCCATCAACTCCAGTGATGGCATCACTGCATTATGTGCCAGGAGTGGATGTCCATCCTTCCCTGCATATTTCAACTCCAGTGATGGCATCACTGCAGTATGTGCCAGGAGTGGATGTCCACACTTTTGACAAATGGCCTCCTGTTGTATTGTTAGAACTGGTTATTAATGAGAAACCATAACAACAATTCCATTTGTCAAGTGTTCTCATTAATAACTAGTTCTAACAATACAACAGAAGGACAACAACAACAATACCACCATTTGTCAAAAGTGTTCTCATTAATAACCAGTTCTAACAACACAACAGGAGGACCACAACAACAATACGACTTTAATCCTAGTAATAAATAAACTTACAATAACTAATTTTTTATTGGTTTTTAACTGGACACTCAATGTTTTTGCTTTACAGCTTCTTCAGCAATGTTCTTCTAAAACACAAACTATTTAATATCTTTTATATACCAGTATGTACTGTAGAAATTAAACAATACTACTTGATTTTCAGCAATTGTAGTCCACACTAGAGGGATTTAGACATTTTGGCAATAATGTTAGAAAAAAACGACTTTTATTCTCCAAATGATAATAAGAATTTTTTTTTTTCTGCCAACATTTCACCATTTAAACTTCATCATGTTAGTAGTACAATAAACTTGGAACTACTAACATGATGAAGGCACAGTGGTGAAACACTGATGGAAGTAAAAAAAATTGTTATTAGCTTGAGAGTAAAGGACATTTTTTTAAATTTTATTGTCAAAACAATACTACTTGTCAAACATGTTACCTCAGCAACAACAAGCTCTAACAATGAGCAAATGGTCCAATTTTCAAGTTATCACCAAGTAAAAAAGTTACTACATCATCATTTTTTACAGTTATCTGTGATATTCAAATTTTTAACAGGACTATCAAGAGCTGAAAATGGGATAACATTAACTCTTCAAACCCAAGCAGGCACTGCCAGAATCTGGCCAAAAATCCCAATTTATTCATCAGACGATGATGAAATTTGATAACATTTATGTCTCTTTGGTGAAAACTAATCCAAACCATGTTATTATCAATAAAATTAAAGAAATTAAAATTTTATAAGTGTGCTGATAATTATTAAGAAATCAGAAAAATAATTTGACAGAATGTACAAAAATTTATGGTTTTAAAAAGAGTTAAATACTTGTAATATTTTTGTTTTTTCAAAAGGGGTGCAGATACAGCAAAACAGTTTCCATACAACTAAGCATAATTGTGTCAAAAGTTGAGAATCTCATGTATTAATTTATATTAAACAAATAAGAAAGTAAAAAATGCAATTATACATACAAGTATTCTATCACTGACAATCACTAAAGAACAGCGTATTACACCTTGACTTGTGACTTTTTTAAACAACCTATACATAAACCTATAGCACTATAAGTCAGTGTACAGAAAATTAACAGGCATAAGATACTCATATTTCTCACCTGAACAGTTCCACCAGGTGGATAGTTTCATTTACTGATTTGAGAAGCCCATTTACAAGTGCTGCATCAACATCTCTAACTCTTTTAGTTAACTGAGAGATATTTTTTGACATGATTTGAATTAACTCCAGTAATTCAGACTGGACAGTGGCATTGGACCCAGCTTGTTTAAAGGTCACATTCAGTTGCTGCAAGTTTTCTCTGACGTTTTGGGTCAGTATGAATTCAGTGCGATTAACCTGAAAATTAAACAGCGAGACCCATAATTAACTTGACTAATTTTTGGCAAAATAATATAATTTTTATTTTATGCATTAAAATAGTTTTTATTTTAAACCAGCAGATGTCACTGTAATAACAGAACTAGTAAAATGCTATTGGTAATATATATTGACCCTGTGATAACAGGTACAGAAAATACAATAGTAATAATACATCCTTCCGTCTTATCAATCTAAACATGAATTACTTATTAAAGATGCAATTAATTTGGAAGCTTTAACTTTTACAAATTTTTTAAAATCAAAATTATATTATTTTACTTGTTTTGACATACAATTACTTAGACTGTTTTCTATGTAAAATGTCTTTTACACAGTTTCTGATACAACTTTGAGTATTATATTTGAAATGATATGGACAATTAACATTTAACTTATCAGCAAGTCTAAAGAGTGAAATACCACACAATTTGTTCAGTCTATAGAAAAACATGTAAGTAAGCTACATTCAATGGTTTATTTAGATTACATATATAAAAAAGCAATATTAATCACAGTACAAAACATTTACTTTGTCAGTATATAAAAATACACACACACACTCTTTATATGGTGGTGTGAGTAGACCTCATGAGACCCTTAACCACCATTGTTAACTATTTATTATAGGCACCTCAAGAAGCAAAGGAGACCTTGGGGGCTCATTGTCTTGATCTAACCACCAAGATAGTTAGTTGTGCCCCTGTCTCTACACTAACATGGTGTATCTAACAGTGTTAAAAAAAATAATCAGGATAAAACATCAAGTCAGAATGAAACCTTTGTTCATGTTACCCTCTTCACAAACACACCTGTGAAGTCACCTTACAAGACTAACACTCACAAAGTTTTTTTGAGAATTGGAGTTAGAGGTCTGGAGAAGTCAGTTTGTGGGCTTTGAACAACGTCATTATCTTTCACCGAAACTTACATCAGAAAATAATCACAACTGATGACAAAGACAGTATCAGACTTTGAATATTGTCCTTATAAAGTGAGCTTAACCCTCTGTACTGCTGTACATCTGAAATAAATACACACACATTACAAATACTCACACGATCATGAAATCCCTGGATGAATACTCGCATTTCTTGTGTAGCATCTTCTACCTTCTGGATACCTTCGTGGGCTAGGAAGTTCCCATAAAACCCAACTGCTAGCGCTCCACTGAAAAACACAATAAAAACATTTTAAATAATAGTGTAAAATGTAGTTTGTTTTCAACCTGAATGTAAAAAAAAAAATCATATACCTGAAAGATAATTTTTACTTTTATATGATGGTTAATCCAAATATTTTGTGATCATTACGTACTGTAAACCTGTCAGATATTTCCATTAGCAGGGCATGGAAACACAAGCCTTCAAATGAGTTTTTTAACTGAAGTTAACTATAGTCAAGAGTAAGTATACATCTGCACAATAATGACATTATATGATGACCTGTTGGTAGACTTCACCTTCATGGTTTTAGTCATGACTAAGTACCATGGGTCAAAGAAGCAGGTGACATTATTCTCTTAAGAAAATGTTTGAGTAAGTTAACTAAAGACAGCATCAAATATGGAGATAATGTTTTACCTTCATAAATTATGTTTCTAATGTGTGATTTTCAAGCATACCCATTTAACCTGAAATTACAAAATATGTGATGTGTAGAAAATGCACCATTCATTAAGATAGCAATAATGTAGCAGTAGGAAATACACAAATATTTCAAGCATTATGATGACAATAAGCTGAAATCTACAGAGCAAAGTAGTGAATAGAGCAGGTTGATTGATAGAATTAGCTGATCAATTACTCATCTGCTGATTAACAGCTTAGTCGAAAGTAACTTTTTGATTTTTATATAATGTATTTTAACACACTTAACATGACAGGTCATCTTAAGCTACAAAAATTTAGGATTAAATTACTTCTGTAACTCTAAACTGTATCACATACACAATATAGTACAACACCCATAACAAGCTGAAAATACTACTGATATTGTAACATGGTTTTATCCCTACAAATTTTCAGAAAACTATACCACTAAATCTAAATAAACTAGTTATTTGTTAAACTAACTGCCCCTAGATTCCACATGATAAAACTATTAAAGATTCTAGTCATAGTAAGTGTTAGATAATTCAGTGAAACAAATTAACACTGATGTTAGAAAAACAAACAGTACAATGGTAAGAAAACTTGATGATCTCAATTTAATAGATTAAAACAATTTATCTATCTATACGTAAAGACAAAATGTGTTTGTTTGCACCCTAACTCCTCGGAACCTAATGGGCCAATCTCAACCAAAATTTGTATGTAAACACTATGAACTATGAGGAATGTTTTAAGAAGGCCAAAATTGAACTTAACCCTATTTC